TTCTTTCCCCCCCCCCCCTCTATTATTGCATCCACTATTAGGAGTGGGCATTTAGGGTTATTAAGTTTTATTAAAAAAAAGATTTATTTTCTTTAAAAAATTTCGGTTTTTTTAGTTTTTTTTTTAAAATTGGTTCGGTTTTGAAAAAAATCAGTTTTCTAAAAATAATACCTTTCGAAAATTTAGAATGGTTTTGGATCGAAAAAAATACCGTATTTTTCAGTTCGGTTCTGAAGAACCGAAGCGAAACGTCCACCCCTATCTCGTATGTCTATAATCATATAGACCGACTTTTAGACAAACATATTTTTTCATTAATCCACATCGTCGCATGTCTAAATAAACAAATACTTCATTGAGATTCACATTTTGTGCGACGGTCATTCTTTCATTCCTAATAAACTCTATGAAATAATATTGTTGTTACATCGTTACAAAATTATCAAAAAAGACATTATTATCGTCTATACTTCTTAAAATCGTCACACCTAAAAACTCTTAATCATGAAATTTTAAATTCAAAATGGACAGATGATATAACAATACTACAGAGCAGCATAAGAGCAAACATGACTTGCGTAATTATAGGGTTAGCTTCCGTAAATATCCGGTTATAATTAACACGTACATAGCTTATGACGTAAAAGAAATCATTATTTTATTGGCATTGCTCTTATTAGCGAACCATCGAGAAATCATTAAAAAAAATAATATTTAGGCATGGCGGGATCTTATACCAAATCCGAGTTAAGTGATTAAAAAAATATGAATGAAAGCGTTGGAACAAGAACTCGACAAGCCGACAATTCAACCAACATACGACACGTCATTCGCTGTTGTTAATACGCTAATTACGTGCGCCTACACGTAAAGCAAATCCCATCAATCATTAAGAGGACCAATCCAAATAATTACTCGCCAAAAATAATTAATTAGGATAAAAATATAATATATGTATGTATCCGTAATCATAATCACACTTATTAAAGAATATTAATAACACTATTGTCATATCGAACCCTTATTTATTAAATTTGACCCGTTTTAAGACAGTGATCATCCTACGCATCTGACGATCTGAATATTTAATTTTCCAAATTTTATTTGTTTATGTATCATCTCATCATTGAACCGGTTTAATATATTTCTTAATCAAATTTTATTATTTACCGTAGAATTCTTGGTTACTCTCGCATACATAAACATATTCGAATATATGGAAGCACTTAATGCACGGATAAACTACGATTAGAAATTTAATTAACATTTTGATATGCTTTTATTAGGGTTAATTAGTTAGTTAGCAAGTTTGAATTCGTCAAAAAGGTTGGAGGGGAAAAGAAAAGAAAAGGTGCGTTAGAATTTTTTTTTAACAAAAGGTGAAATGTATTTTCTATGCGAAAAATTATATCATAAATTGAAATGTTGATGAAAGTGACAGAGAAAGAGAGCGAATTATTTTCGGATCATCATCTAACGATGATCAATATGGTTTTCCCCTCTTATTATATTTGAATCCTCCTTTTAATGAAATGATTGATCGTAATCGAACTTGAAAATTTCAAACTAAACTTGCATGTGATAATTACATATCTAACAAAGTTTTATTTCTGAACATCGAAATAAAAACAAGCAAAATTCATCACTAGATTACAAAACAATTGTAATATATCGATTGAAATTGAGATTTTTTTTTAATAAAGGGGAGGGAAGGATTCCTTGAAAATGGAATGGGGTTTCCGGGAAAGACACCTCTTTTCCCGGAAAGTTATCTCATCATTAAATGGTCCACCATCATAATTTCAGGGGCACCGATCTTATGATTTTCTCTCGTGGAGTATCTCTCCCGTGAATTCATCCCTTATATGCCCCTCCCCATCATCACGCATGCATGACACACACACACACACACATATATATATATATATATATATATATGTATACACATACGTATATAATATGAAAAGTCATAAATATCCCCCACATATCTTTGTAACATGGTTGTGAGAAAATGAAGGGGGGAAATCACGTGAAGCATACCCCACAATCCCCCTTAAAGATAGAGCATCTCACGACTTCACATACCTCTCTTTCTCTTCTTATTTCTTTTCCCTTTTTATTTTTCGACCGTATGTCAGTATGTGTAATCATTCTTTCCTTTGTCATCAAGCTTTCTAGTCATTCATGCATCTCCCCAATCATATTATTGATTTCCTTGTTATACCTTTTGAAATTTATATTTACGAAGCTCGCGATTCTAATATAATCATTTTTTTTTCTGTTTTAAAATGATGAACCATGGAACATCCGAATATTATGAAACAAAAAACACGCCTACTATACGAGTATAATCACATTAATTAAGTCATCCAAATAACGGGACCATTATTAATCTCAATTTAACACTTTCCTTTTATATTAATATAATATGATTCTACTACCAAGATATTCAAAAAAAAATTATATCCATTTGTTGATACAAGCCTATGCAGTATTTCTTGTTCATGAAACGCATAAACAGCCATTATGCAATTATCTGATTAATTAAAAGGTTGAGTGAGTTTAATTAAGGAGATGCGCCAATACACGTGAGCTAACCTCCCAAACCCACACCCTTTCTCTCTCTTACTAAGTATCCTTCCTCCCTTCACGCACCCATCAAATGATTTTTAAAGCTTTTCGACAAAACATCGAATTTTTCTATTCCCCGGCCACAAGTAATTATCTTTAGACATGTAGTAATAATATGTGTATAAAATTAGGTTATTAATTAATCTTTTGGGTTGTTTAATTCAATATGCCGATTTAAATTTCGGTGGGACCACTTGGTTCAGCGGATTATCTATAATTTTCAAGTTTGGAAACTGCCCATTTATTCGTAACCTTTGTAGATGGGAAATTTCGATTCAATCAATTTTTTGTTTCCATTTATAAACTGCAGAGTATAAAACAAAACCGACCGATCCCTAATTCCATATGTATAGTGGACATGATCGATGACCTTTGAGCTTATTTAGAGAGACATAAATGCAAGTACGAGTTTTTAATGAAGCTCGAGAAATAGTCGCCACGTAAGATTTTTTCTGCAATTATATTGAGAAATCAGTCATCATCATTACGAGTTTATTTACACACCACGTAATATTTGTTATACATATACATATACATATATATATGTAATCCAATATTAAAATATTTATATGAAGATCTTAACGTTGGTGCCACGATATTTATTGAACGTTCTTGCAGCTCAAAAAAGACATTAAGATTTTGTCACGGTACATGTTAAGGAGCGTTAAGTTATATGCTTAATGTTTTTTTCATCTTAACAGAAAGCTATAATTTAATTCCAGACGTCAAAGTTTGGCTTGAAAATTTGGTTATGTAATAAATTGTCATTTATTAAAAGGAAATAGTCCTGGAATAATAAATACACATGAATCGAAATAAATTTTTTTTTTCTTAAATACATGCTTGTTATTTACAACCACAATTATATTAGCATGAAAATCTAAAAGAAATATAAGATGGATTAGCAAGTATTATATCTTTTTCCTACGAATCGAACAATAATTACAAACTATTTTTCCCACCAACAATCCCACCGAAAAACAAAGTGGAATTGTAGATAGTCTACCTATATACTATTTTGGTCTCCCCTTCCAAATTATATATTTATATATATATATATATATATATATAAATATATATATATTTGTTCCGTCTTCTATATTATAACTAATTCCTAATAAAAACTTCAAATAGAAATTAATTAATGATCAAGCAAGAAACTAATCAACAAGCCGCGGAGGGATTGGTGAAAGGGTTGAAGAAGTGAGGCTTGGCGGCGATGGAGAAGGCCGCGACCTTGGCTCCGGCGCTGTCGACGACCGCCGACGCGACTCCGCCCCCGGGA